TTTGCACAAAAGAAATATAAATTTCCCCTCCCTATTCAAAATAATGGATCTTGTAATATTTTCATAAGCCGAGAAAATTAATAAATTCAGATCAATTATAAATAATAAATTTCTACTGTGTTGTTTTGGCATTTTATTTTCAGCTCTTCCAAGCAATGTTATGCTTGAGTAAAATAATTATTATGTATGATTAAGTAGAAATATTTAATAAATACCATATTTGCTGTAATAGAAGAACACACAAACCAAGGATGGAAATAATTGTATACTGGTTCATTGCAATATGAATTATTATGGTCATAGATAGTCATGTACATAGTCACATGCACTACTAGTATTAGAACAAATACAGTATGTATGAATTACTATCCTTACAGCTTCCCATGTAATTGTGCATTCAACTTACAAAAGCTATCAATCTTGTGATGCTTTCATATTCACAAAGACTTGATTTTGTTATAAATTATTGCAATCACAATAACTCTTTTTACTTTTGTCTTTATAATCCCGAGACACCATTAAAGCTCTAGACAAGATTTCAGGGTACAGCTTAGATCATCTTCATACTTGCGACCGTATATTGACTATGATCTCCTCTCACTGTAGGCACTGATATCAACACCAAGAAGTGCAGCAACGATGAGAAATACACCGCTTCAGGAAATAGTCAAACACAGATAACGGCAACGCTTGATCATACGTATAAATTAAACATCACAGACCTGGTTATTGGCGTTATTGTCGGCTCTGTAGGGATAGGCATAATTGTTATAATAGCTACTATTATACATGGACGAATTAGAAGATGGCACAGGCTCAGAAGGTTTCTTCGGTAAGTTCACAATCTAGTGATTAAACTGTGTTAGGCATTGTTCAGTTACTGTAAAATTACTAATTTAAAATTTCACTGATTTAGTAGGTTTAAAATTCACGGTTTTATCATTTGGATAATGTGTTCTGTGCTCAATTTTACATATTCACTGGGTTTTAATTTAGCGCATTTTCCATGTCTTGTACATTGCCACTGATATGGTAATGTACCCATCCAGTGGTGCTGTAGGATTGTTTTTCATAGTGACCAGTGGCCATTTATATTAAGTAATGCATCTTCGATATGCCTATCAAATAAAAAATGGCTGACTGGTTGCCATATTTCATAGTCAGATATTTTATGCCTATAATACAAACGAATACTATGTCATTGACAATGGCTTGTTACATATACATATTACATGTTTGTGTACCCGTTAATAAAGCCATGTATGGGCATTGTTGTCACAGCAAATCACTAGTGCCATGTTTTATTGTTCATCATGTGCATAATGATTAGTAATATGTAAAGTAAATGACGTCACAGTGTGTCTGCCTTTTGAGAAAATGTGGTAACTTGGTACATGTATTGACACAAAAGGTCACAGTAATCACTGAAAATGTGGTAACTTCATACATGTATTGACACAAAAGGTCACAGTAATCACTGAAAATGTGCTAACTTCGTACATGTATTGACACAAAAGGTCACAGTAATCACTGAAAATGTGGTAACTTCGTACATGTATTGACACAAAAGGTCACAGTAATCACTGACAATGACCTTCAAGGTTAAAATATTTAGTCATTGCTTCTTTTCTTCTTTTGTTTATTTAGAATGCGAGATGATGACGGACTTACAGATTTTAGAGATAATAATGCCGCCAGAACTGTAGCTTCTATCTCGGAATTATAGTACCTGATGTCAGTACAGAACACTCCTGTACATTAAATCTCATATTGTAACATTGTATTGAGGTGATACTAAAATTATGGCGAGGATTTTTTTCTATTATATGCAGACTTTTTGACATTTTACAGTTTGTACCCAGATGTTGTCCTGGAAACGAGATGTTTTTTTTTTTTTAAGGTGAAACATTTTGAAATTCCTAATGGAGTAAAACATGACATGTTGTATGTCATTAACAGAATACTGGCGTTCATATTCACATGAATATCTGTATAATAGTGTGGCAGCTGTGTAGGTCATCGCACAAGAAAACTGTTGTGAAATAAAGCTACATTGTAACATTCAGTCACTTGCAAATGAACCAATCAGCGCACCTCCCTTCCATTACAGGGTACCAATCAATCTATATGTAGAAGTTTAGTATATTATTTGTGTCTTTAAGTATACGATTAGTGTCTTAAAGTATACGATTTGTGTCCTAAAGTATACGATTTGTGTTCTAAAGTATACGATTTGTGTCCTAAATTATTACGATTTGTGTCCTAAAGTATACGATTTATGTCTTAAAGTATACGATTTGTGTTCTAAAGTATACGATTTGTGTCCTAAAGTATACGATTTGTGTCCTAAAGTATACGATTAGTGTCTTAAAGTATACGATTCATGTCTTAAAAGTATACGATTTATGTTCTAAAGTATACGATTTGTGTCCTAAAGTATACGATTTGTGTTCTAAAGTATACGATTTGTGTCCTAAAGTATACGATTTGTGTCCTAAAGTATACGTTTTGTGTCCTAAAATATACGATTTGTGCTCCAAAAAAAGCACTGATTGGTCATTTACATTCCAACCCAAACCCAAACGCTTACTCATGAATATTTAAATCAGAGTTCTCAAAGGCTTTGTTGCCAGAATTTCTTTTAAGTGTAGTCTCTTTATAATGACTTGGCAATCATGTTTATGTATGGCTTATTCATGAATACCCAATAGACACAATCAGATTTTAAATACAAGGCAACAAATGCTTTAGTATGAATATTTGTTTTTTTTGGTTTAACTTTACATTGAGTGTGTGAATCACTATTGTCAGTGTACATTTGACATGGTCTGATAGGAAGTGAGTAACCAGGCGACATGGTTCTGAAAATCACTGTTGCAAGTTTATTGGACATAGTTTGTTGTAACCAATTCTGAAGGCAACTGAAATGTGGTTACACTGTGTGTATTGATACCCAGAAAAATTTTGTTTATTGCATGTCACTGTCTGTTGTGTACCCGGTATCAATGATATGGGTTGCTGCTGAGAACCTTATGACTGAGTGAAATCATCAGAGACAGCACCCTGAGTAGTCCTCATCTTAGATTCAGAGTTATGCCTGCTGAGAAGTTTTACATATGTGTGCCTGCTACACACTCCAATAAATTAACTTAAGTCAAGTACACGTAGGATAATAGGGTGAGGGATCTACTAATATTTTTATTTTATTTTATTTTATTTTTTTCAAAAGTATAATCAGTAAGTTCTTCCTAAACTAGAAAAAAAGTTGGTTGTCAGTAGTGGAGATCATTGAAAATTACTTTATAATGACAATTTTATTGTTTTTTGTAGTCCTGAATCGTGTGCATTATGATGATGTTAGATAATTTGTAATGATGCTAACTAAACTTAATACTACTGTTGGAACAAAACTAGTACTTTTCAGTAATCATGCTTATTTATTTGTTGTTGATACATAGTCAGACAGGTTTTTTTCATAAAAAGCGTAAACTATAAATAATGTAAGCGCTAGATATTCTCATAAAAAGGCTGTGTTTGCAGTATTGTATCATATTATTTTCAATGTGGATTCCATAGCGTCATATGCACGGCATGTAAAATACACTGTTTGATAACTTGAAATTTGAACGCATTTTCAACGATGACCGCCACCACCTTCTGGATCATCAACCCATGCTGGTTTCATTGTGGGTCCCATGCGATGTTTAAAATACAACATTTGTTTGTAGTAAATCAGAGCATACCACATGATGACTGTGATAATAATGGTAGGATGCACATGCCAAAAGCTTAAAATCAAATTATGTTAATAATACAACTTTATTAAAAAAGCAATAGTGGTCTCAAAATATTTTTTTTTACAAACAAAAATAGTGATTAAAACCTGTCAAATATGAATGGGAATATATTCTTATGCAGTCTTGGACATATACTGATAATATATTGAAGAAATGTGCTAATCATGTGACATGGATACAAAAACATGGTTGTTACTAGATCTCAGTCAATCTTGTGTGTGAGAAAACAAAGATGGCCTTTGACTTCTAAGTACGCCATAAACAACTATCTTTAGAACTACCAGTAATGCTAATTAAAACTGAGCACATCAAGACCTGTCAAAGGTGACTCCCAAAGTGAGCTCTATAGATAATGTTTAAATATTTTAACGAAATCCAGATTTATTATTAAACTTTTTTGGATAGGTGCATGTCGAGTATGGTTTGGGGTCAAAAGGTGTCATTTTTGGCTAAAACTATGGGAAAAAATATTGTTTTAACTGGTTCTCTGCAATGCCTTCAAACTTCACATATATGATAATACAGTTCACAATCAAAGTTTCTCTTTTGGTCTGAATGTATTATTGCAATACATTGCATATGTTGTTTGACACAATTAAAGTCTATTAAGGGTGTCTTTTTGAATCAATTTGTCATCAGTCAATGCTGGGGCTTTGTAATTGACTTGATGACTTGTAACTAAGGTAACAGTGGATTGATCTAATATTTTGGTTTCCAAAGAATTTTTCAGTCTGAAGTAAAGTCAGTGAGATACAGTTTGAATTCAGTTTTTTAATTACCGATAATACTTTGTACACTGCAATGCTTTGTTAACATTCTCTATTCAATTCTTGTATTTTCAATTCACCAATCAGAGCTTGGGTTACATACGAGTGTTCAGTAAGATGCTCTGATTGGTCAATTATTGAAACCAATCAGAAATTGTGCTACATATGGATCTATAGTAAGATGATTTCTGATTGGTCAACAAAGTAGTCTATATTCTGTGGAGTATGCCACACCAATAATGCCTTGCTACAATGCGAGTCATGTCTCATTATTCATTTAGATTTATGCAAATGTCAAAAGCATCTGCAGAAAGAAATTACTCAATGTTTATTGGCTAGTTTAAATGCTGTGCACTGAGAACTCCCCATAATCACAATGACTGACAATGTTTATTATTTACAATGTTTTCATTCAGCCAATCAAATGTTCAGTCAGTCAGCTGACCATTATAAGATATTACTAGCATTGTATCTAGGTCAACTAGTAATCGTTGTCTTTCCATTCATAGAGCCTTCAATGTCATACAAGAAAAAACTGTACAGAAATTCACAATTCTGATTATCTTCAGAATCTCACAAAAACCTATCATTGTCCACTTCTGTGTTTTCTGAGCACAGACTTTTCTTATTAATAAATCTATTTTTCTCATACACGTGTGGTTCTTATGACTCGCATATTCGCAAATGAGTGCTTTTATAGATATGTACTAAGGTGTCTTTAGCTGAATTCTAATGTTACATGCTAGTGCACATGCATTATGGGAGAGAACTTCCCATTATAAGTACTGTAAAATCTGTATTCGAAGCCGTGACTACTATTGAAATGGTTCAGTGCAACAGAGGGAATGGGGCATCTACACACATGTGAAATGATGAATTTTTGGTGCTCAATTGTTCAAAAAGAATGTGTGCGACTTCTATTAGGGATGCAGCTTCCAATACAGATTTGATGGTAATGAAAAACTTTAAAAAACGGAAACTCTAAATTAAATGTAATTTTTTTTCTTTTTACATGTATGTCACTGAGCATAGTTTTGATATATGAAGAAATAATTTCATAATTCAAACTGCACATAAAATGGAAAATTTAATAAACAGAATGTTAGTTAGAAATACCATCGTACCTTGAAAACACAACATCTGAAGTTGAATTGTAAAAAAACAGACAGTTAAATAAATCAATGATATATTCATACCATTAGTTTTTTTTCTCAAATAAACTGAATAAAAAATACTGTAAATCTCATTAATTTTGTGAAAATCATGAAATTTTCCCTGTTTTCTATGACATGGAGTGTTGGAGACTTTTGTAAAAAAAAAAAAATTATATATTCACATAAATTCCTAGCAATGAAAATTGAGCCATTTACAGTAGTTGATGGTATCTTGCCACAATGAGTGTTTCTGTTACTATGGTTACCTACATATCGTATTTCCTCTCTAATGAGACGGAGTCGTGAAGGAGACAAAACTTGCGTCAGTACTTCTTCAAAGGCAGCTGTTGTTCACACAGGGAAAGCTTCTATGGATCAATGTCTCTCAGAATTTACATGATATGAAAAGAATTCATCTTTACTATACAGTCAAATTTATATGAAACCAGGGTTGGGG